GAAGGGTCCCTGAAAACAGGGGAGAGGAGGAACGGCTCCTCCTTCAGCCAGGTCAGAGGAAAGAGTTTGTTCCAGGAAAGGCTCATCTTTAACCCTGTAACTCTGGCCTGAGGGGAGGTCAAGGACCATGGTCATGCAAGGTGGGTTCTCTGCAGGCTTTAAAGAGGGAGCTCTAGCAAGTCTCCAGTGGGCAAAGGCAAACTGGAATGCCCAAAGGCTTATCACAACGTTGCCAAATTTTGATAGAACTGTAGAAAACACAGCCCTAATAAAAAGCCGCAGCACTACAAAGTTTGAAATTCTCAGTGTATTGGAGTTGCAGAAGTATTAAAAGAAACCCCAAAATCTTGACTCTCCTCTCCCCCCACAGATCTCTACTTTTCTCTAGCTGTTTTGTGGGTTTGGGACTTTTTCTATTCTCCTCAAACATGGCTAAGCCATTTTACTAAAATTAAAAAGAACAGAAAACAAAATACAGTCCAAGGCAGACACTGTACATGGAAAATGTCAATGTAAGAGATTTGCATTTAACAAAAGGCATCTGAATCAGACAGCAACATCAAATGATGGAAATACTGAGCAACCTACCCTCCCTCACCATCAAATTTGTCTCTTCGCTGAGAGCTATGTCCAGCAGAGGTTGCACAGGGAGTCACACGGCAGCAGGTTCCGATACCTGCTCATAATGCCATTCTGGTCAGCTTTTCAAAGCAAACGTTCAGCCAGATGTAAAGCCCAAAGTGTGACAGCTCCTAATATTGTTCTTGGCTATACTTGAAATAAAGGCAAAGAACATGGCTTTAAAAAAACTGAGCAGGATGCATGCCATTTTCAGTCTGGCAGTTACTTGAAGATTTGAGCTAGCACAAGAAAGAAGAAAAATTATGTAGACCAGAAATTTAGAAGAGGTAACAAAAGGGGAAGATGTCTGAAATGCAATAAACCTTTAAAAAAAAAGAGGGGGGAAAGGAAATTTGCAATATTTTTGTTCTGAAGAAGCAGCAGGGAGCTTCTGTTTAAATAATACACTTACACTGTGGAAATGCAAAAACTGAAATACTTCAGTTTGGTATTTAAATTGAGCAGCCCTTCTCTCCTGACAAATACAAGGGGTAGGGGAGAGATCACCCAGGAACAACCTAGAGAACATTCAGGCTTTTACCCTGATTTGTCTGCTGACTACACAAGAAGGCTAGAGAAGCTTCTCTTTAGCTGCTAGTCCGAGTACTCTCCAAATTGGCTCACTCCCTACTAGAAGCAAAATACTCATAGGAAAGCATGTACCTCACTGGAAAGGCAATTTAAAAGTTACTTTCAATAAAAGCAAAAAACCCCAAAAAACCAAAAGCAAACCCACAAGCCTCTGGTTCACAAGTGAAGAAGTCACTGCAGGAAGCAGAGCTCAGCAAGGCACAAATACCAACAGAAATCACCGCAATCCTGGATAATGGGCAGGCAAAACGCCCTCCACAGCTTCAGCAAGCAAGAGCAAACGCCCCCCAGTGCACCAACAGGACAGAGAGTGCTGGTAGCAACAGCAGCAATGAGCAGCACTGAACCACCGAGTTGTGGCACTTGAACTTTTAAAGTAGATGATTAGAGTGACCACTGACTAACCAAATGCGCTTTAAAATAATTGCTCTCTTGAATGTCTCTCCTACATCCCTATTCTGGAGTACGGGCAACTTCACCTGGGCTAAAATCCAAGACTAACATTTGTATTTGTAATCATTCGCAGACTTTACTTTTTGAAAAGCTGCACTATTTGCTGGACTATCTAAAATGAGTTACATTAATTAAAACAATCTTGAGTTTCAAATGGCCTTCAAACACTTTCATCATCCTAGTCAAGAGGTTAGTTCTTTTCTAAAACAACTGAACCTACACTCTTAAAACAAGCCAATAACCAGGAGAAGGAAAATAAAGGAAGTTAAAAAGGCAAGGCAATTCTTACTCGCTTGAAGAAAATACGAATAAAGAACTTAAGACAAAACTGCCTTTGTTCCGTTAGTGCTTACCTAGCTAGGCCAACACCTTAAAACACTGACTATACTTAACACAATACTTAAAATATTTGCTGTTTCAATATACCAAGTGCTTTATTTTACTGATTTTCAGTTAGTATCATACATTAAAAACTCCCTTAACTACCTGTAAATGCTTTACGTAGTCAATAAAAATATATTTATGCCTGAAAATTATTATATCTGATAACAATGGATTTTGGTTGAACAACTTTTCTTCTCTGAAGCTTTTAAAATGCATTATAAAACAGAAGAACCCGTGAGCTTAATAAAAAAAAAACACACAAAAAACAAACCAACTCACAACACAAAAACCCAAACAATCAAAAAGCAAACCCAAACAGTAATATTAAGTGTATGGGCTACTCCCTTTCCTTTAGGTGAGTATCTCCCTTTATATTGTTTTGTTAATGTAATACCAACCAAAATCAAAGTTGGAAAACAAGACACCTAATTGCTCCAGGATTCCTGGAACTCTGCCAGAATTCCTGACGCAAAAGTGCGTGCCCATGCTTTGTGGCATCAACTCAATAGACCCAAAGCTTCAGAAAACCTTCCACAGACACTGTGCTTAACTCCGCGAAACGCATCAGATGTACAACAGTTCCAGCGCTTTTAGGAAGCACCTGCATTAGGCAGTTCGTTCACACGTGCGCTGACAAAAAGGCCAAGAGTTCCAAACGCATGGCCACAAGTAAATCCGAGGTAAATCCAAGAGCTGTTCAACACACGGGCTAGCCCCTGGCCTTGCCGAACAGATGTGCAAGTCGCAACCATCTGTGTCTACCTGTGACACAGGCTCAAATTTACAGGCCCCCGTTCTGCACATATGCAACAAAATCCAAGGTCTCACAAGACCATCGGATTTCCAGGACGCACACAAATCGGCTACACTGTGCAGAATGAGACAGCCCAACCACCCGGCAAAAGGAAGAAGCAGTGTCGTGCCGTAGCCTCCCCGCCGGCAGAAGCAGCACCGTGCTCAGTCAGGGAAAACTCCTCTACTGCACGGGCTTTGGGCTGTGCTCCAGGCAACAGATAATTCTCCAGAAAATAATGGGAAAATATTTTAGAATTCTAATTCGACCTCAACAACATCTTCAGGGTGAGTTAAAGAACGGGGCCTGTAACGCTGGCTTTGCATGTAGCTCTGTGAAATCACTATTCCCATCAGTTCTGTCCAACGCTTCCTCCATCATTTCACAGTCTGCAGCCCGCATGTCTATCATAGCAGAAACTCTGAAGCAAAGTAATTAAGGGGTTTCAAGCTTTTTTTTTTTTGGCAACACTTTTCTAAGAAATTCATGCCAACATGAATAAAGAAAAAAACTCCTCCCACAAACTCTTAACTTACTCTTGCAGAGTTTCCACTCCTTTTTCCTTATATTGCAGCTCCTGCTTCATCTGTGCCAGTTCTCGTTTTAGCCTAGAAAGCTGAATATAACAAAATAATTTAAAGTAATAATATGTAACAAAAACTTCTATAATAAAAATAATTGTTTTTCAAATACAAAATCTTAAGTTACTTTTTGAAAAAGGTGATAATCTGTCTTGGTTTTTTGTTTTAAAATTTACATTAAAATAACACTATAGTTTGTGAGATATCATTAACACCAAATCAAACAGGCATCACAACATTTCCAAGTATCAATTTCCTCATCTATTCTACTGGTTTTCTACCTTCAATAGCTTACACTAACAGCTAGCATTTTCAATCCAAACGATTTTTCTGCTGCCCTTGCTGCAGATATCTCTCAATTGTCTACAACTCTTTAGTAAACTTAAAAAAAAAAAACAAACCCACAAAAAACCCCACTGAACATTCAAAGCTGTTAATTTTTTCAGTCAAGGAAATAAAATCACTGTCAACAGAACTGGTCTCTCTCCCAAAAATGGCAGCATAATTTTCTAGAGTTAATCTCATATTGTCCTGCTCTCTCAATCTTCCGCCAATTACCCTGATCCAACTAGCAAGCGTAAATCAAATGTGACAAAGCACTGATGACTCCAAAAACACACTTCTGTGGTTTTATGAAAATAGTTACCTGAGCAGCTTTGGCAGACCTTAGAAGAATGCTATCAGCATCACGTAGGGACAGCAAAGAGCGAGCTTCTTGTCCTCCAAAGCTGATAGAAAACTGACAGCAACGAGGGGAGGAGGATGCAGGGGACTAAAGATCAATCTGGGGGCTGGAGGTGTGTCAGCGTGTGGCGGCAAGGCCTAAGACTGAACTGAGAGCCCAAAGAGGGGAGGGGCAAGGATGGAAGAAAAAAGTTCTGTTCTCAAGCTATCAAAACTAGCACCATTTCTAAAATTTACCCAGAGTGCTCTTGATTTACACATGTATGTCACTGAGAAAACCATTACTAAAAAAATAAAATGATACTAAAAAAAAAAAAATCATATATATCCATGCACACATCAATTCTGTGAGCTCAAACCCCAGAGCTGGGAGCTTCACACCAGTCCTAGGGCTGCAATCCAGAACTGTCCCATCACCCTGCACGGCTCTCCCCTTCCCCTTGTGTCCTGCCACGTCCCTCAAAAATCATTGCACCAGCCCCCATCACACTCCTACACCCTCACCAACTCTTTCAACACTCATCAAAAGAACAATGAGAAAAACACATCACGGGTATCACGTACACAACCCCTTTGCAGTGCGTGGTTTTTTTCTATTACTTGAGACAAATCAATGCCTGTGCACACATTCAGATGGAAAGTTGTCCTATGCGCTTAGGAGACAGCTTTGTTTTAAGATGCATGAACCGAAAGCCATATAAGTGAAGACCTTGTTTATTTTCTTTTAATCTTATTACAATAAATAAGGCTTATTTTCTTGTTTAGAACATGCTGACATTCAGAGTATGTAAAACAAGCAAATGCCAGCCAGCATGTAGTAAACATATACAGACAGAATAAATGCCTTTGAAGGGTGGTGAACGGGATTTATTTTCAGAGGCGCTCATGTGAAAAGTGGTCACTACAACAAAAATGGAACACTATTCTGCAAAGACAACTACTTTTTATTTATTTTGTGAGCTGAGTGCCTGGCAAGTTAAATCTCATTTTATCCATTTATTAAAAGAAACATACAATTCAGAAATAAGTTCTAGAGCTTAAAATTATACACTGCTTTTTATAATCACTTACAACAGCTCTATCAATTTGTTTGAAACCAACTTGCAAGGTTTTAACTCTCCAATAAAGTAGCATGGGAGAAATTTAAGAAGTCAACTATTCTTCCTTCAACAAAGCCAGTACCGAAAGCATAATTCTAGTTTAAAAGTATATAAAAGTGGAACATTTTTATTACAAAACTGCCTTTCATTGCCAGAATGCTTGAACTACCCTCTCCTCATAGAGGAGCTCTGGCCAAATCAGGTAAAAAGCTCTATTTGGCCAACACGTCTACTGATTTGTGAACAGATTTCCAAATGAATGGCTAAATCTACAGTTCACTGAAATCCATGGAACCCCACTGAAAATGGGTAAATGGGAAAATATGAAGACAGTGGGTTTGAACTGCACTCAATCAAGAAAGAATTTGGCTAGAGATTGTTTATTACTTGTGGTAGATTGCACAGAAAAAGCCATTTCTGAAAGCTTGGCTGACTTCGCTTCTGACATCTGTGACAAAAATCTTTACGCTTGCAACATGGAAAAAGCATTACTTTGCAAGTCACTGAAATGCAGTAAATATAGCCATGTATTAACAACAGACCAGAACAGAAAAGCAGCTTTAATATTATAGTTTAAAAACCGCATGCAACATCCACTGTAAATGCTAAGGTAAAAGAAAACCACACGGTCCTCCCTTGCCAATGCTTAATTCATATTTTCACAAAATGAAAAAAGATTACTCACTCTGTCACGACGGCTGGCTATTTCTGCTTTAATCTGATATGGGTCATACTTGGTATTAGTTGAAAATCCAGAGAATGCTAAACAGATGGAAAACAGCACTTTACATCATTATTTTTTTTTCTTCTTTAATACACTTATTAAGATGTGGCACTATTGAATAGACCATTGCATTCATTCTTTGTATTACAAGTCTCTAGGTTTTGAAAAAAATTCTCTGTGCTAAAGTACAACTGAATAACTACCTTTGGCCAGCGTGAATTTCTTTTCTTGAACAACAACAATTGTATATAGCAGCACCACATAGTGCCTAAAAGCAACTAGATACTGTGACAGGACAGTGGCATTTACTGTTCCAAGTAATTTGTGTGACATTAATAATTGTTAATTGCTTCTCAGGTGTGCTGAATTAAAAGTATGATAGGGACTAAAGTAACAAAACTATCTGCAGAATAAAATGCAATCAGCTACAGAGAGAAGCCGCGTCTTAAAGCAACAGCACAGGGAATCGATGTGCAGACAAAACTTTGGCAAGCGAGCTCTTAATGCAGCACTTCTAGGGTGAGGCAAAGATTTTGAGCCGTGGCATTACAAGCTAAAACCAAGACAGATGAAGTAAAGGTCCCAGAGGACAGGCTGGGCAAGATCAACCATGATTTATTGAGTGAGCCAGTGATGGCAGCTCTGGCCCACTGAAAAATGCCTGGTGTGTGAGAGGATGGGGTTGTGCTGTGAGCCTTACCATCCTTCCGTAGACCTGAAGGCTGCGGCTTTGAAACCCACAACCACGTCTGCGTTGCAGGGAGCCTCCCGACGCTCCAAAGAACACTGCAACACCAAGGTCACACCAAGCGTGAAGGAACTCGCCCAAACGAGTAGTCACGCTTGGACTAATTCTCTAAATCCAGGATTTTCTGTGGAATGTTATTTATTTTTATTTTTTTAAAGCAGTGCTGATCGCAACTGAGTCACAAAACTGCTGCAAGGGCACCTCCCTGCCAGCCCACGCCGGGTGAGCTCACCCCACCTCCCACTCATGAGCGCAGGACACCGCGTTGATGGCAGCGCCCACAAGAGCACAGAGGAGGAAAACACGTGGTGAAGTTTTAGTTCCTTCAACACAACAGATTGAAACGAGTGGCGGTGGAGGCAGGAATATTTGCAATAGAAGAACCCAACTTCAGGCATCTAACTGTGTGTTAATTAGGAACCTGAGATTTCTGTACAACAAGTGCAGAAGCTATCATCCCAGAGTGGAGAGGAGGGGTCAAACTGAGAAAAACAAGTGGAGAAAGCCTCATGGAATCTTGAAATGACAACATGATTAATCCCCAGAAGGACTTTTTTTTTTTTAATACATCATCTGTCTAATCAGTCCATCTCATTTTCTCAAAACAGATGCATATGACTTTAAATCAATATAAAATATATTAACATGTCTGTAGAAAATTATTTAACTCAAAACAAGTGAAAGACTTTAAATGATTTACAGTATCACATTATCAATTCCACAAGTATTTGCATACATGCTACAGATAACCTCCAATTCTGTCATTTTCAGTCATATTTTGTTGCTGTTTTAAGTAATTTGTTTTTCCAAGTATATTATCATCTTCAACAGAAATTTCTTTCTGTATATTCACCTGAAGTAATTCAACAAAATATCCCACAGAACTACAACAATTTTTCAAAAACTAAAAAGCCCAAGCTCCTAGAAAAGTATTGTAATAAATGTGTATTTAGATTCTATAATCTAAAAAAATACGGATGATGCTATTTTTTAACCTATTCTAAGTCTTTAAACAGTAGTTAAACACTCTTTAAACAATTTCTTTCTTAAAATTTACTGCTTAAGAAAAAAAAATCTTTCTTAGTAATTCTTAAGAAAGTTGAATATAAAGGGGAGAGATACGATTTGTCACAACTGTTCAGTTACATCACAAACTAGATCACAGAATACATATATTTAAACTAAACAAAAAGATTAAATAATCCCAGTTTAACAGTAAAAGAACATTTAGTAAAGACCATGTGGGACACTTCAGCCCTAGAAAAAAATTTATTTAGGATTTTGGCATACATGTGAATTACCTTGGACTAATAAATGTCACCAGATTTATTCGGACACCTGCCCAACATGCCCCTCTCCCCAGGCAGGTTTCTTGAACATTTTCAGAAAGGGCTCAGCAGAGCTTCCCGTACTTATCAAGTACCTGGCATTCACCAGCAAAACTTGCAGTTAAACAAGGGCTGTCCGCTCTGAAAGGCCACCAGTGCGGTGAAACTGCGCTGCCTTACCACGTGGCTGGAGGGTGCGTGGTTTTTTGATACACTTCTTTCAACTAGACTGTTTTGACTCTTCAGGAAAAAGACACCTCTGCCTGTTGCACCAGCCGACGGCCACAGCAGTGGTCTAACAACTTCAGGGTGGAGAAAAAAAGTTTATCATCTACTCCAAGCTACCAGAGACATCTGAAGAATAAAAAGTGTGGGAAATCAGGGCTCTGGAACCCACACCACCAGCATTAGGATTAGAGGCTGGCATTCAAGAATGAGGTGCACTAATCATAGAATCTAAGAATCATTTTGTTGGAAAAGACCTTTAACGTCAAGTCCAACTGCTACCTAACTCTACCAGGCCTGCTTCTAAACAACGTCCCCGAGCATCATATCTTTGAAACACATGCAAGGATGGCAATTCAGCCACTTCCCTGGGCAGCTAGTCTTTGATAACTCTTTCAGTGCAGAAGTTTTTCTTAATGTCTAACTTAAACCTCCCCTGGTGTAACTTGAGGCCATTTCCTCTTGTCTCTTCACTTGTAACTTAAAACACTGCTTCCCACTTCATGGTCAGAGGTACTCTTGACCACAACACCTTGTCCCCAACTCTTTTTAAAGCTGATAAACTGACCATGGATCCACAGAAGGCTTCCCCTAAGCTCATGGTCCTCCTCCCTGTGTTGAGGGTGGAATGATCTACAAATTTACAAGTGCAAGTAGGTGGCTGGTCCAGCAACATTCAGTCTTATCTTGCATGAAGGACCACTATGGCTAGCTGTGAGATGGCTAGAGATGCAAGCTGAGATATAGCCCCATTTAATGGTAAAATGTCATGGTCTAATAGACCTAACATAAGTCCCTGAACAGCAGAGTCAAAGGATAGTGCCTCACTTCTGTAGTAAGGATCTTCATTCAGAGGAGAACCAGGTGATGGAAACACTTCACACTGTTTCTTACATAACATGTTATCAGAGGCAAGTAGGTAAATCAAGAAAAGACTAGTAAACTCACAGCTAGCATAAGAACGACTGTCATCTTCACACATTTTGTGCAACTGTTGATATTCTTCCTGGGCTAGTTCAAAACGCTGCTGCTTTATTTGGTAAATCTCTTTCTTGGCATTGAGTGCCTCCTGGGCAACTATTAAATATTCTTTTAGCATGCGTTCCTGCTCCCTTCTCCATTGCTCCCTTGGGTCCTCAATTTGTGTGAGCTCTAAGGAGAAAAGCAAAAAAAAAAAAAAATTAAGCTAAACCGCTATGTCTCACAAAGCACAAATTAATTTCTTAAGGTCAATTCTCAACTAGCACAACCTAACATTCCAGTGCTCAAAATCACTCCAGACTGTGCGAGAAGGAAGGAAGGATACAGAGTGGAAGAGAACAGGAAAAGCCCTTTCAAACATAAAAGGCATTTAAATTTAATTCTTTTCTTTACAAACCAGAGCAAATCCAAAGGAAGCAGTGTCTTGGCTCTTATCTTCCCTTGTAACCTACTTGAATATTCTGAGAACTGCCCTAAAAATGTAAGAGCAAAAAGCATCTCGATACTTAAGCCATAACACCATAAATGGTTGGAACAACCTGAAAATACGACATACGACTTCACAGGTATAACATCCTGAAATGTCAGTGACTACACCTGTGTAATTAAGAAGAATAAGGTTATTCAACAGAAAAGTTAGCATTGTAATCTCAAACTCATAAAAGCATTTAAATTGCTTCTTTTTTCGTCTTAAGAAACAGTATTCTCTTGCTTTCCCTTTCCAGGGCTTAAAACAGTTTGTATTCAAGGATTTATCAAAAATAGGTCGCTAGTATAAAATCCTTCAAGTACATACTGATTTTCAAAGTTATTACCATACAGCAATCTCTTTGTCAAGAAATCTGAGGAAGGCACATGCACTAAAATCCTAAAAAATTATTGGTTCAGTTGTTTTCTTTTTGTTGTGATGCTCAAGCTAGCAAATATGTTTCACATGACGATGTCCATGTAAATCGTACTTTCAGGTGAACGTTCATTTCTGCTCTTTAAGGCTCTACCAATAAGACATTGCTGCAGATTCAGTGTCACTGTTTAAAGCAGCGGCAGAACCTGCTGCCCTGTCAGGAGGTAAGCACCTAGTAATTTTTTCCAAACTTTGTTGTTGACGAGAGATGAAAGCCAGTTATGTTTTCTATTAATCTTGTGTGCATAACTCCTTATGCTGGTGTCAGTGATGAAGTAAGAAACTATAAAAGACTGAGCCCAACACATTAAAAATTCTCATGGTGTCAAGGCCATGCTAGCAGCTCTACTGTTTGAGAGCCATCTGAAATGTATATAAACAAAAACAAGAAGCTCATCTATGAACAGTACTTCCACGAGAATTGTGTTATTTGGTTCCTAACAACCTTTTCTCTCAACAGCTGTAACTATTCTCACCCTACAACTCCTCACATTGCAACAGCATAAAGACTGTGCCTATAGTTCTACAATTTCTCCCCATACTCCAGGGACCCTCGAATCCCAGCCTCACCGGCTGGCTCCAATGTCCCCAAACTACCTCTACAGCCCAGGACATCCTGTTGTGGTTGTGGTTTGTTCCAGTCTCCATAAACCCTTCTCTGCATGCAGGGCAAGCAGAAGTAGTTCAGAGCAGTTCATACTGCAGCCTGTCCTTCACCAAGGGCACAACAATTTGCAATCCTATCTCCCCTAAGTATTCCTGAAATCTGTGCAAATTTGATATTCCTAAAACTGCTAGCCCCTACGGAAACTATGCGGAAATCAATAAATACTTACAGGACAGAAAAGCTGGATCCCAGTAAGTGCCTCTTTGTGGATAGGAAATTATTGTTTCTAATCTCAGTAAACAGCAAAGGCTAAAACATTATGTTGTATCACACCTTAAGCTTCCGAGATCCTTATACTACAGGGCACTGCATCTCTTACCAGATTATTTCAGATGCCTTCTCAAAAGCCAGCAGTCGTTATGTTCTCTCTTCTTTTGTAAAGTACAGAGGCTTCGCTTTGCCCTGGATTTCTACATGAGTTTGCCACGTAACAACATAAAGCTATGTTGAATGATAAAATTCACTTCCTCCATTTCTTTATAACCATTTTTAAAAATATATATAGAAAATACTACAGTAAGTCCAGAACAGTCCCAGACAAATGCACAGAATATATTATTCCCTCACTGGGGAATGCCCAACTGGTTAAAGGAGACTTCAAAGGCTCCCAAGACTCCAAGGAGGAGGGAAAGGAATTCTGCGGCTGGCAGCCGCCAAGATTTCTAAGCAATGGTTGGAGAAGAGCCAAGAGCAGCTTAGTAAGGGTGTCAACAAAGTACTGAATTTAAAGAACAAGATGGAGATCAGGGTTGGAAGTACTATTGAGATTTACAGAAGATTCCTCTGTTCCTGGGGTTTTTCAATATAAACGGAACGTTATTGCCTAGAAATCCTTTTATTACTTTCTGGGTAAACAAACATAGCAAGAGGCTTGGAAAAAAATCAGATGTATTACTGTTCTCTTTTAAAAGGTGCAAGGGAAAAAAGTTTGAGATGGTGCACAAAGCGTGAGAGGTCTCTGGTAAGCACAACTTTAGAAAGACTCTCTTTGAATTACCCCTTGCATTTTCTCACAGCGCTTCTTGAAAGCAAAGCACTTCTAACCACTTTGTCAATTAACATAGAACTCCAATGCTGTATAAAGCATGTGACCCAGTCAAAACGCCACAAAAGGCAGTCCAAATGTTTTCATGTGGAAGTTGCCATTCGAAGTATTTTAGACACAGTTCAGAATACAGTGTAAGGGACTCATTTCGGAAAAAAAGTATCTTCTTAGTTCCTACATCATCTCTGCCACTTGCCTGACACCGTCTTATGATGCACTTGACTGCCTACTCATTAGTTCTCACTTCTACAAAGGAGGTTAATGAAGTCTTGATCAGAACCTTTATATGCACAGTTTAAAAGAAGACCAAGTATTCTACTAATTTTTTAGTAACGATTATTCAGCTATAATATCAAATCTCTCTTTCTTCTGAATATAAATCTTCCTTGTATATGCAAGCACTGTATTAGCCTAAGGGTGACAAACCCATTTTGCTGTGACGGTTGAATTACCATTTAGGATAATATCTGTGGGCTGCAAGTAATTAGTTATCATGAAAGAGACAAATTTTGCAACCTTGTTAATTGCAGAACGATTCCTTTCACTCAGTTCAGTACTGGCCCTATGAAGTTTCCATCCCTCTGTTCATATACTACCTTGATTTTATTCCTAGTATGTTTTACTTTCCCAGACCCATTTATACTAATCTTCTCTTTCTGTGCCTTCCATGAAGCATTTGGGAATTCAACTGCTCTTTGCAAAGATTCTCTTCTACAGTTTTTTTCCTCTGAATTTGAACAGGAACAAACTATGAGCCAGATCTGACATGCCTACAATGATTAATATCCTTTCTGTAAGTTCAAACTTGATGTCTGTGGTAAAGCAGCTAATAACAAACGCAAAAAGCAGCGATTTCTTTTGCATGCAATGGTGATTGTTATTCCTATCAAAGATCCCTAAGGGTAGGATGCTTTAGCAGCTGTTTTCAGTCACAGGGTTGCAATAAAAGTTCATGTTCCACATAGTATCTGTAGGGCCTTTTACAAAGTTCAAGGCAAAAAAAAAGGATTTGCCAATATCCTTATTTATATTTTATTTTTAGTTCATGTATTCATGCACATGTTGGTACAAATGTTGGTGCAAGTGCACTCCATTACTGTACTCTGACTTGAACATTAAAGTTACCATGACAATTACAACAGCAATCATTAAGCTACTACTTTTAAGCATAGTTATTGCAAGAATTTTCCAACAGTCTGCATTTATTGCCTTTCAATTGTCTCAGTGATCTATCCTTGTGATCAGTGGTGCATTAACAGCTTTTTAAAGTTTACTATTTAATTTGTGATTTTTGTTACTTTCACAACAAATAGGTACCTATGTGGGTCAAACATTATCACAGGAACATTTGTTACTCTGTTGCTGGGTTTTTTTGGTTTTGTTTTGTTTTGTTTTTTAAAATAAGTAATTGTGAAACCACAATACAAAAGTAATTCCAGTGATGGCAGGAAGCCAAAAACTATCCCTACATCTTCATTTTTAAACTGACTAGATTTCAAGTAGATAGTATTGAGGTTGTTTTTACAGATTATACTATTTGCTATTGCTATGACAGACCATGTAACTACCTACTTTTCTCCCCCCAGCTGCCAATTCCCACAAATACTGAAAGCATTCATTCATTGGTGATAAGAAGCTTAATGATAGAAGCACAACAGTAACAACAGTAGTATTACAAAGCTGTAAAGATAAGACTTTTTTTTAGAAGCAGATCTGGCAAATGTGTCAGACAGTGCCGATACAAAGCTCAGCAACAGACCAAAAAGGAAAACATCGGAAATTTCTCCCTCTTAGGTTTCCAGAAGAGACACCTGCTGTCTTTTTGATAGAACTTTGTACTGTATTAAAGCACTAAACATATATTGCTTAAGACAGGATGTGATTATTTTTTCATTAGAAGCACTGTGAAATAAATCAGAATGCATTTTGTTTTTCAATATTGAAGAGTGAACTATGGATGACTGGAAAAATAGGAAATACCAGAGTATACCAGAAAAATCTTAACTGACATATAATGAAAAGCAGCAACAGAATTACTGATACTGCACAGGATAACAAAGCAAAACAAAACAGTTTTATACACTGTAACTCAAACACAGGTTGTAAAATTCTTACAAATGGAAGAAGGATTGTTTCCCCTTTTGAAAGATGAGAAAACAAGATACTGTAAGAAATTATCTGCATATATTTTCTCACTGTAGCATGAGGTGCAGAAACAGTATCAGAAACAAAGTTATTGCCATCGGTTAACATCAGCTTGCTAGGATTTCTCCAAATGATACATCTACTCACGATTTATGTGGTCCATATAATAAACTCCAATCTGTTGATCGTAAACAGTTTCCCATCCTAAAGGAAGCTCATCACCAACACAGTCAGCAAATGTCAATGGCTTTGTAATCCTGTAAAAATAAAAACAGCACAGATACAAAAGATGCAGAGTTTACAGCGCAATGACTGTTTATTACATGTTTTGAAAATAATCCCATCATTTGATCACAAACTAGTTATGCTCCTTAGGAATGTGCTAATAATTACAAACATAGAGTTGCAAAATAAAGTTTCATTTAAATATGCTGACAGATACTCCCCAAACAGGTAAGACAAGCTTCTCCCCTCAAGTTTCTATGTTTAACAGTTTAATTACAATGGCATGCAGTTCTGCCAGTTTTTCTCTCGTATTGCAAAGAACACAAATGTTCACCACTGCTAAAAATTACTAGAAGCTTTATGGGCTTTATTAAGGTGTCAAAGCACTGTAATTGTTTTCCCTTAAAAAATAAAATTTAAGAAAGCACTATATAATAGATTTCTCCTGTTTTCAATTATACATTTCCAACTATTAATGATATTCTCTTGGTCCAGAGACCTCCAAATTACTTCCCCTCCCTCAGAAAGCAGAGAGGCAAACAAATGTCTCTAAAGAATTCTGAAGTCATAAGAGCAGAAATAGGGACAATTAAGTAACAGCATTACTATCTAGCAGCTACCACACCCCTTGCTAAGCAAGCTCTTGATAGATCAGCAGGTAACAGAAAGCCAAAGAACGGTTTCAGTATTGACAGGAATGTCGAAAATACTGGGTTACAAATTCTTGAGACTCTAAATCAACACTGTTCCAAAACATCAAGGTATATAAAAAAAGCTAGGAAGAACGAATGATGCAAATAAAAAATCCTTCATATTCAGTTGAATCGTACCTATTTCGCAAATCTTCATTAGAATTCTTACTTAATCCCTAAGATTATGTTTTCCCCTAGAAGCTGCCATAAAATTCCTTTACAAAAAAGCTATTAATACCATCATTTGCTTTTGTGACATTTGTAATACCTAGAATAATGGCATCTCTACAATGATTAAATGCATACATGAATTGAGGGGCTGACTTCAGTCCAGTGTAATTATGGCATAATGCTGTTTAGTGTAAAATGGAAATCCTGTTCCTATGTTGTATAACCCTGTCACCAGATTTTGGACTATGCTCACAAATATACAGTGGAACAGAGAGATCAGTGGGATTTGTAATTGCACTTCATCCAGCAACACCTGTACAAACCAGCAACTTGGTCCGAAGTAAAGCATGCCCATCACTGGAGCAGAAGTCCTTCCCCATCCCAAAGCAAAATCAACCAGAAGAATCTCACATACAGCTACATTCTAGCTATTTCAGTGGCCCAGTAAGCACACCAGTCAACCAGTAACACAAAGCGCATCGTTTCGCAAACAGCACGCATAAAAAATGCATTTACCAGCCTCCTAGAAGTATTTTAGTATTCTTGAGATTCAAGTGTCTGAAATTAACTGCAGTAGAATAAAAAACAGAAATATATCCTCTCTAGCTCAAATGCAATGTTTGAACAGCTCTGTACAACAGTTATTTAGGTCAAACAATAAAGAGCTTGATCATATACTATGGATTCTCAAACTGTATAAGCAGTTTAATAAGATGAAGATGTACATAAACTTGTGCATCACTATTTCAAGTAAAAATTTGCCATTATAGACAATTACATAGTTTACATCACGGAATCATGACAAGCCAAAGCTGCTGTATTCAAGGAAAAAAAAAAATGTTAATATGGGCTGGCATATGCATTCTGACAACAATTCATCTAGCAGTCAGGCAGACCAAATATTGCCAGAATACCTCTCATCTCCTTGGAATTCAGTCAAATATTAAAAATATTACATGTAGCATTTTTTCTTCAACATTACAGTTTTGTTCTGAAGACACTGTGTTTACAATTTCTCAAAGTAGTCTAGACATTGGCCCCTAAATTACCACACTATAGACAAGATTTGCTTTGCAATGAGTTAAGAGACATGCTTGCCTGTTATACAAACACACTTTCACCCTTTTTCATAAATAAAACCTGCACACGATACTCTAAACTTTCACGCTACAAGAGCTTTAATTCAACACTCTCTGTGATCCCACCAGGGCTCAGACTTCCAGGACAAGGACAACGCTCATTTGCTGGAAAAGGGAGACTGAAGCAAGCTAGTGCATCTGGTCTGACCAGTTTTCATTCCAGTGTTATAAACCTCTATGAACAGTTTAATTAGTGTTTTTGGAGGAAGTCTTGTATGAAGGACACACAAAAAACAATCTTCCAGATACTCAGACCATTATAAACCTAATGTTGTTCATTTTAAATCGTACTCAAAGTTGCTCCAAATTGGATTCCCCTCATACAAAAAGCATCATGTCACCTTGATTCTCAATTCAGTGACTTTTATACGTATGCAGCTCAAACTTTCTTCATTGAGTTCACCCAGGTGAAAAATATGCAAAACAAACTAGAAACTGGAAGCTTCTCCCCATGTTTTGCACTGGTTTAACTAAGTCAACTGAAAAAATACATCTCTGGTTTAACCAGCACAAGTCTGAGGACAAGATTTTTTTTTTTCCCCAGTTAAGGAAACCAAGGGTTTCCAGAATAACAAAAGACAAAACAGAACAGGTGCTGCTATGGATATTGGAGGTCAGCTACAAGTTACAGCAGTAGATTGCCGAATTAAGCATATTCTGGAAATACCACTTTACCCTCTGGGTTTTTTTAATTAGCTAAAGCACTGTAAAATAGGACAGGTCTTATATGCTTCTACATAAAGAAACGTACAAGGTACAAGTACATCTGCTAAAACATTTCAAAATATAAAAGACAAAAAAAAAGTTCCAAAGCATTATAAAGAAAAACATAGAATAAAAATGCTGCCATCTTTAATTAAATAAAAAACAGGGCTGCCCTCAATTATGCTCTTCACAGTAGGAAAAAAAAACTAGGGCATTTTATCTGTCACCAGTGATTATCTCCTGTCCCATCCATGACAACTGACAGACGTTAGTAAGAACATGCTGAACTTCCAGTTGAGGACAGAAATCTTCTGGGACCAGTTTACAATGCTAACTGGTTGCACCCAGTAGATCTACAGCCCAAGTACAAGTGACAGTCACCCATGCTGGCAAATTTTGCTTCTATCCAAGAGCCAACATTTACTTCAAATTAACTGATTCGATGATTCATAGAATCATAGAATGGCCTAGGCCGGAAGGGACCTTAGAGATCATTTAATCCAACCTCCCTATCATGTGTAGGGATTCTTTATTATCTTGAAACATCTATCCTTTCCAAAACCAATGATGTTCTCTCATTAGGCATCCAATCTTTTGTGACTCTGAAACCCTTCAAAAGGAATTACCCCCCACCCCCACCCCCCGAAGTTCCGGGCGGGCTAGGGGGGCGGCTCCCACCATTTTTCCCATCGTTAACCCATGATTACCCACTGACAAAAGCACCTGCCCCTGGAGTCAACAAGAAATGAAAATACCTTCCAACCGGTTTCAACAGATGAAAATAGAATTACATATTTTTGGTTACATATTGTAACCCAAGACACTCCTCCTTGCATACTTATTTCATATCTTTATCCACTATCCATAGACAGAAGGATTCCAGAATATATTACTACAGCTTTCTGAATATGCAGCAGCAACATGCACTTCTTGAATGCATCAGTTCATGGTGGGAAGGGAAGAATACAGCAGAAGATAATGGGCTAAATACCATTTTAGATAAATTACTGCAAAACTGCTCTCAGCTTTCGTGTACTTTGTTAAAAGAATCTAATTTCAACCTCCCAAGAAACCCACAGAAAACCACAATCTTTAAATAATAAAGGAATACTTTTGGATTCAAAGAAAAGGCATACTTTCAACTCTCAAAAATATAGTTTAACCGATAGCATGGGACAGCAATTCCATTGTCATGGATTTTGAAAAACAGAACCAGATCACTGAAAACACAAGGCATCAGAAAATATTAGGTAAGATCCTCAGCCTTCCCATGGCCATGACACCACATCACAGGGCCCTAGCTGCTTGAAATCCCCAGGTCTAATTGAGAAAAACTTCCTCTGTGAGGAACAAAATTAAGAAAAACAGAGCCTGTTTTTGCAAGATCTTGAACAGGAAATCGAAAAAGTGTTTCCAAAGTTGAAACGCAGCTTCAAGCTAGCTGCCATCTCCTAGACAATGTCTAGATGCCTAAACTACATCCAGGGTCACCTCATCTTCTAAAGTACGCCTGGATTAAAAGGAAAGCACTAACCATGAGGGCCAATTATGAAGAAGAACTACCAAGTTCTGAAGAAAAGCCACCATTTGCAGCCGAGACTGAGGCAGGGTTCAAGAACTGCCAACAGAGCTTTTATTTTTGGTTTTGATTTTGCTCAGGTCTAATGGCAGAGGAAAAAAATGTCTAATAAAATTTGATATTCCACAACAGAAAACTAGGAGAAACATTCTTTTAAATCTGATCTCAAGTCTGAATACCAGTCTAGTGGGATAGACGGGTTTGCCTGACAAATGTGAATTACAGACTAGGAAACTGCATTAATTCACATTAAGGATGTGAAAAATACCAAGGAATTTAAAATTGAGTAACAGTATAACTAGAAAAGAATTAAACACTCTGATAAATCCAGCAATATTTATTCAAAGTGAAGTACTAATGTCAAGTATATTACTGAAGCATCAGAAGGCAACAAAGAGACAAGGCAAAATGAGAAATCATGCACACGCTCAACAACTTTCGGCCAGACATTTTTTCTTAACCACCTTTCAAACATGAATTTAAGTTACAGACATTGTTATAAAATTCAGCTAATCCTCTTGTCTTGCATTATGGCTCTTATTTCTTCCAACAACACAGGGAAAAAAAAAAAAGAAAAAAAACCACCAAGAAATTGAGCAGGAAT